ATATAATCCGTGTAAAGTTTGCTTATCATTTTCGCATAAATTATGACCTAAATTTGGAAACCGCTGAATTTCTCGAATTGGGTCTTTGCGATTTTGGTGAAACTCTGTTCAGCGCAAGGCACTAATGCGCACTATGTGTAGCCGAGAGATTTTCACAAAAAAATGCCGGCAACAGCCGATTTTCGACTCAGACCCCAAAGGGGCGTGGCATTATAACCACGTGACATTTACTCCGATCGCCAAAAATTTTATGTTATATTGCAGATTGATCTATATGTTATCCATTCTATGTGTTAGACTTACGATAAAAGTAAAGGTGGGGATACCAGAGAGCTTCAAAGTAGGATGGTACCCCCCCCCCCCAAAAAAAAACTGGGTCGAGTCACCTTAATATATTGTGGAGTAGAAATACTATGCGCAAAAATGTTTTTTTTTTTCTCTCTAGAACCTCCCCTTTCGCACTTTCTTCTTCAAAAGACAACTGAGAGTAAAAATTTTCTTGTACGCTATTTTACACTTGGTAAATGGTTACTGACATCGTTTCTTGTATCAAAGTTTATAAACTGGGCTCGTTTTGTCGTCCTGACTCGTCCTCAGTCGTCTCTCACTATCTCTCCCGAGTGGAGCGAGGGGTTGTTTCTACGCACGAAGATGACTGGAGACGAATCAGGGTCAAGTCAGTCTTTCCTCCTGTAATTTACTTTTCGGATTACTATTACAATATTTATAATCAGTAAGAAGCGTCACCTTCAGGTCACCTTTTCTATGTACAAGTAATTAGTAATATTCAGTATATTTATGTTTATTAACGTATGTATTTACTTGCACTTATAATAAATTGTTGCCTTTATTCATTCATATTTCCTTCTCTGCTCCTTCGTGGAATAAATTTATTAGTTAATTTTAAGCTTCGTGCAAACGGACGCAACAACTCCCAACAACGTTGCGTCCTTTGTACGCGGCTAAAATTTTAACAGGTTTCAAACTTTGCGCAACAACATGCAACAGGATGTCCAAACGGATACAACATGTAACATCCAACAATGTTGGGAGTTTGCTGGCCAACTATGTTGCGTCCCTTTGCATGAGGCTTAAGGGGCATAACTTTTTGCACATTTTTCTTGTTTAGCCGGTGCTTGTTATCCTAGTTAGTTGTCAAGACGGTGGGTTAATGGGCCATTTGCATGATGACGTCGTTTTACTACTAAGACCAGAATTCATTTCGTTTTTCCTTTCATATTTAAATTTGGTAATCCCAGTGAGGTTTAATTAACAAAAGCCTTAATTTCTACAAGGAAACAATACGCTGAAGGATTCTGGTCGTAGTAATAAAATGAAGCCATAGTGCAAATGGCCTATTAGCCATAACTACGGAAGAAAGAAAAGTCAGTCAGTAATTCTAACATGCATCAGAAACGCTTTCAGCAATCTTACTGGCTACAGTGGTATAGAATACGGGA